TAGCTACATCTCGATCCACCCCCCCCCCCCATGGCAGGGGGTTGGACTAGATGACCTTTAGAGGTCTCTTCCAACCCAAATCATTCTGTGATTCTATGAATACCTGCTTCAAGCTGAGGATTTGCCATGAGAAATGATAGACACCTGGTGACTACACCTGTATTTTACAGACAGGAGAAAGAGACACAAATCTGTGATGAATTAAGAAAGTAATTGCCAGTAGAAATACAAAGGTATTCATGTCTTTGTACAAAGTTTTGATGGAACTTCATATGGAACATTGTACACAATCCTGAACACCTGCAGTCAAGTAAAATCAACAGAGATTAGAGCTGGTGCAGAGAAGGACCCTAGGCTGGCCAGAAAAATGGGAAGACCAAGCAAGTCTAGGAGGCTAAAAGTGCTTGCCTTGGTAAGCTTAGAATAAAAATACAGGGATGCTGAAGAAGTTACTTCAGCTCAAATAACAATAACATTTTATTTATGCAGAAACAAATGGCTATAAACCACCGATGAATAAACTTAAGCTGAAAATGTAAACGTTTCCAATCATTGGAGCTTTGAGATTTTGAAATGACCTATTCTACCAGGCACACTACAGAGCATCTGTTCATAAATTTTTGACACTGCTGTCTGGCAGCAAGGGACAGGGCTGAATGAGCCCCTTTCTTTCCTACTTTCTAGGAAAACTTTTTCCATCTAATGGTTATTCAACATATGTTTTTATAACATCAGAAATGCATTGTGGACACTCCTAAATTAGTAACGGGGGACCAGCCAACTTCTGAAACATTTAGTTGTGATGATGTTATTTCACCGGTGCTCTTGTGAGGAGCTTATGAGACTGAGGAAAGAAACAGCTGTATCTCACCGGACCGATTCTCTCGGCCTCGGAGGTTGTCTCTCCTGCTCATGTGGAAAATGCACCGGCAGCGCTGTAGGAGGAACGGTGGTTTCCAAAGCCTGCTGTTGCCATCAGTATGAACCGGACGTTTCAGCCGCCAGAGCTGGAGAGTCCAGCACATTTTATGAGCCCTACTTTTACAAAAATACTTTCAGGGAATATAATTCCGTGTTTGTTTGGGAGAAAAAAAGGGCACTGATTTTATTTTACGTAAGTGACAGAAACACCAAAAGGCAATTTTAAAGCACCACTTTCTAAATGTTTGGCTGTTTCTGTTCGAGTCAGAAAAAAAGAAAAAAAAAAAAACATCACACAGACTAAAGCAGTGAGTTGAATCCAGAGGTGGACGAGGTTTACAAGACGTGAGTTTTAGGGTATTCAGTAGCCTGTCAAAGGTAACGTAACATCCCTTCATACTCAGGGCATGCCTTCCCTCAGAGGCCACCAACTCTGCAAACATTTAACCAAGATGGAAAACACACTTCCGAAAAAACCTCTATACCTGCTGTTACTCTGCTCCCTCTGCAAAGGGAGAAGCTGAAGCACAGACAGATTAGAAGACTTACCCAAGGCCACATAAAAAAAATCAGTGGCTGTGTCAGGAATGAAACCTAGATCATTTGACACCAAAGCCTATGCTTTATCAGTCTTCAAAATATCTCTTCTGCCAGTTTATGTGCTCATAAAGGGAATGCACTAAAAAAAAATCAGTGCAACTTGAGGTCTTTAATACAACTATAAAGTACAGTAAGAGATCTAGTTCTGTTTATAGGCACTCTCCCCAGTTTCCTTGCTCTTAATCATATACTTTCTCAAAAGATTACAGCGCAACTGAGCTTGTAAGCACGATGAAGGAAAAATGCAGGCAGCAACATCACTCTACTCACCGGCCCATCCCACTATGAAGTGACTCAGTTAAGCAGCTCGGTAACAAACACTTCCTCCTGCCCACGAAGGCAAGAATGGGAGAGAGCGCGTGAGCCCATCCATGCACTCTTCGCAGACGTTCCTCCGGACAAGCCATCTGGTCTTCAAAAATGAATGAGCGAAACAATTTCCTTCCCTTCAAGTATCAGACATCTGTCTTGTCTTAGTTCCTAACCTTCATCGACTTATTGATCAGAATCAAAACATTTCAGTAACTCATATTGGGTAAGAGTTTCTTGAATGGAAAAAAAGACCTTCATTTTCCATTCACCCCAGTGCACCTAGGACCCATATATTTGGGGCCTGAATTAGCACACTTTCTTCATAATTTTGCCTAATTCAGTCTCTACATAATGGAAGAGACGCTTTATTCCCTCCTCATTTCTCCCTCCTGCCATATTTGGGAAAGTTGTTACAATTACAGAGTCACGTACTCAAACCAGGGGATGGAAGCCCCCATGTGTGATGATCACCTGGAGAAGTCCAATCCATCCTCCCTCATGCAGTCCCCTCACACAACCCACATTTCATTCGATATGCAGAAGGAATCAGGGCTACACAACAAGTAATTTCTCTGCAATTCCTTAACGAGTTGCAGATTTTGGAAGGTACATTGCAAATGAGACAAAAGATTAACAGAAGAGAGGACAGTTTTACGGTTAGGGTGAATGAATGCCATCTCTGCTTGGCAACAAAATTATTCCAAAAACTCAAGAATTTACTCATCATAAGCCTTGCTGTTGGCTACTTGTTGCGTTACCTGGAATGAAGGTGAATATTGGCTGAAACTTCACCTGAACACACATAACATTGCAGTAATGCCTACCATTGCCACAAATGGGGTTTTTTTAGCAGATGGCAAGCACCCTGAAGATCAGACATGGAAAATAAGTAGGCAGCTCTGACCTTAATCTGATCACCTCTACAGAATGATAATAATAATATCACATAATTGTTCAATACTGTTATGAAACTGAAGGCATTCATGGTGATGCTCCACTCAAGTGCTGTGGTGTAGCTGTATGGAAGCACTCAAAGAAATTAATAATTCTATTTTTAATTGAGTGCTTGAATGCCCGTTCAATAAAAACCAAAAAGCCTATACAGTCTCTCAGTAAACACGGGGGATAAAACAAAACACCGAACAGCTATCTGGTCACTGAGGCCACAGTTTGGTAAACGCTTTGTTCCGTGACAGTGCCACCCTGCTCCACATCTACTCACATCCCTGCAGCCTCTGTTGGAGTGGTACAGCTGTTTGCAGGGCCTCGTGGTGAGCCAGGTCAGGGAACCGACCCAGGTTAACAAAAAATAACCTGGTGGGGAAAAAAAGGTCACACTGGTTTCCAGTCCAGTTCTCCCCACAGTCTTACAAAGAGCTGTACCAGCACAATAGGGGAAGAAGGGGATGAAAGAAGGGAAGAGAGACAGGGCTGCTGGAGCAGATGCTACAGCTCAGGTGTTCACCAGCCAAACCCAGAATGAGGCAGTGATGATGGGAAAGGGGGTAAAAATGTGTGATGATACAAACTTAATGAAAGTATCCTGAGTAGGGTACAGAGAACAGACTACACTGGCACAGATAAATGCCAGACTTCAAGTTAGGAGCCTTTTGAGTGTTTGACTTTGCTGCCTAGTGTCCTTTTATTGCAGCAAGTCCTGTGCTACCGCATCTATTATTATTATAAAATATTTATTACAAACCAGCATTTGCACACTGCAATGCCAGGTAACATTCAGGTTCTAAAGCCATGCAGAAGTGGTGTCCTGTGGCACTGTACTCACACCTGCATCAGTCATCTCTGTACCACAGGATTACACGGGCTCTCCCACTCATGCTAACGAACTAGCTAGAAGTAGTAGGTTATTACTTTATGTTGAATAAAACTAGAAAGATAAGAAACCAGCGGTTTTACAGCCACCAAATTTGCAGGATTGATGAGTCAAGAGTATTTGAGCTCCCCATTTCCATTTGTCACCATGGAGGTCTTTCAAACCTAAAAGATTAAGAATTCAATTCCATGCCTAACTGTAGTCCACAGCAAAGCTCCCACAAGCTCAGTCATGCAGAAAGAGGTCTCTTAACTAATGTCTCTGAAGTACACACAATTCTAACAGAACAGCCCTTAACAGCTTCTCATTTACTTAAGGGAAACCAAGTTAAACTTCCATTTCTAGTAGTAATAATAACTGTAGAAATAATGGCAACTGGTAATATAATTTAAATAACATAGGCAGCAGCCAGGAGGGAATAGGACTTCCTCTAAAACCATTAGTGAGGAACATGAATACTATTTTGGCTTTTTGTTCAATATTACTGAAAGTTACCTCTCTACACAGCATTCACTTGACCATGTCCTTAGCAAGCCTGCTGTGTTACTTTCAATAGCTTCATAACACATTAAAATAATTTGCTGTAGCAGTAATTTCATTTTACTACTAATATTAGTCCAAGAAAGAGTCTTTGCTCAGACAAAAAACTTTCCTTAAGCTCAATGAAAGTTCTGCCTGATAACAACTTCACGAATAGCCCATTCCACGGAATTAGCATTTCAGGTTAATGAGACCTATTGACTATAAATAACAAGATGGTTAATTTACACATGCCATTTCTTGTGACAGTTCACACGTGCGCTCATCTTCCCTACATCTCTAACCATTTCCCGATGTCTTATGCAAGTGGCCACGCTCTCATTCCTCTGCATCTCAAGAGCCAGTCCGCAGCTGCAGGCAGTCAGCAGAGAGGAGCAAGAGAAATGATATATTGCAGATATTTTATTTTTGGAAACCGCACTGTAAATAAAGCCATTTCCAGAGATATTCCATGGACACGGAGCACTTGGTCGCGGAGCCAGCGCCTTATGTAACAGGAGGAGTATTGTTTAGGGTTGCCTGCTTTAAAAAGCCACTCCTGGTAACACAGTTTACAAAGCTATAAAAAGCTAACAGCGTAACTATCGAGAACAAGCAGGCAAGCGGTTTATTACGAAAAGGCTGGTGTTAACTGGAAAAAGAAAAGTTTTATTAAATCACTTAACTTTCTGTCACTCGGAGGACATCATCTCGGCTGACACTTACTGCGTGCGGAAAGGTGGGGGGCTCCTAGGCAGCCCTGCGCAGCCCCATGGCCAGGTGCTGAAGACAGCTCTGCCGCCTCCCCGCAGCCCACGCCGCCAGCAGCCGCCTTCAGTTATCTTCCATTTAATTCCGCTTTATTCCCCCCTGCCGATTATCGACACGTGGCAGAGGCAAGGGATCCCACGACTCGGCCTCCCGCTCTTCTTCTGCCGAGTGACCGTCAGCCTCTGGAAAAGCGTTAGCAGAAAGGATCTCTTGAACATGCACAGGCGCTCACAAGCAGCTGTAAATTTCCACTCCCCACTGCCTGTCGCCAGACTCCCGGCCTCGCTCCGGCTCCTCGCTGTTCCTGCTCTGACTAGCTCCGTGGCTGGGTGTGCATTTTTCCCCACTGCCCTCCCTCGCTCGTCTTGCTTGCAGGCTCACACACACCCCCAACTCCACGTCAGAGGAACGCATAGAAAAGCAAAGGAAGAAGCGATCGCTCTGCCGAGAGATTTCTCCAGGGTTAAGGGAGGAGATGTGACGATTTCGCATCACTTCTGTAAGTTTCCATTCCCCTCCGAAGTCTGTCGGTGTAGGGGAGGCATCACTGACGGGTCCTCGCACCATCACGTGGCGGAGGCTGCTGGAATTAAATTATTCACCTTGCTGTCCTGCTGAGAATGCTAATAAGGGAGCCCAACAGCTGGTTGTTGTTCCAAGATAATAATAAAATCAACATGCTCACGCACCACATCTTTCAGCAGAGTCCTCCCCAGAGAAGCCGAAGTTAAGCTGCTTCCTGCCTGACTATGTATTATAACATAAAGATCTGAATACTTTTCCACAATAATACTGGAGGGGGGAAAAAAACCCTGCAGTATAGTCTAAGCAAAATTTAAATCCCACTGAAGAAAAACATTAGCCTAAAGTATTTTTTCAAAGGCTAATGTGATGAGGAAAAAAAATCATACAATTAAAGTATTCTGAAACAAGTACTACCAGCTATTACCAAGCACACAAATACAGCAAAATGCATTTAAAGGAATTTTTAATGCTTCACTTTTCTCTCTCGGCAGCTATTGCTCAGCAAGCGCCACATATTCCCAAAGGGAATGGCGAGTGCCTTCCCCCCCGGCTGTCTAACAGGCTTTGAGAGCAGGGAAAGAAGGATGCTTTACCAGCCACCGTGGGCATTGCAGGATGGGATTTAAATCCATCCTCACCCGGATCTCGGCCGAGCCCCAGCAGGGATGAGAGCCCAGCATGTGTTTCTGCTGAGCTCACCAGCTCGGGGGGAGATTTCACCTCCCATCCCCTCTTCCTCAGGGCAAAGCCCAGCCAAAGTCCTACATTATTAAAAATAATTCTGTATGCTACATTTGCTTGGGGAGCTAACCTCAGTCCCTGCCACATACCAGTTCTACAGTCGCATCAGATCTTGATTTAGGGCTCACCTGCAGTAGCTATTCACAGCCCTACATTAAAGGCAACCAAAACAGCATGAGAAACCTCATTTCTGAGGAATACAGATGAAACAGCCACCTTTTAAAGGGCTAACATCCTTTGCCAGCGATCCCAGCTCCTAACTGTGGCAAACAGGAGTATCCCAAATCCTCACTTTGAAGAGCCAAGAATCAGGAACTTGCCTGTCCCTCCCAGGCTCAGAGAGGCAGAAGTTGTCCCTGCTCCCTTAATCTCCCTGCATTTGCTCCTGCGTTTGCACAGGAGGTGCCAAGCTGACCTCAGATCAGCAGATTTGTGCTCTCAACTTATCTGTAAAGCGCACCACCGTTTGTGCTTACGCTTTACCTAACAGATCATCAAGATACCTCAGCCCCATGTTTTTGGACTGCCCTGAACAGTACTGGGCACAAGCACTAGTGCTGCTCCTGCTGCACCCAAAAGCGCTGCAACAAGTGACACCAAGTGGCAATTTCTGCTCCAAACCCGTAGTGAAATATTCCTCCAGCACAGAATTAAAGGCTTCATGTTGGACACCCCCGGCCAGGTTTTCTCTCTAGACCACCTACAGAGAGAGCTCAGTGAGGGATGCTGTGGACGCCAAGCTCAGAGCAGGACAAGCCGCCCTCCAAAGCGGCATCTTTCTCCACGAAGCTTAGTGGGCACGTGAACAACCGGCATAGGCTGACGTTTCACGACATGAAGGACTCGGGGGGAAAACTGGCGCTGGGCATCATTTCATGGGCGCCTTGCTCTGCCCCAGCTCGGTGGGGAGACGGAAGGGCCACTGCGCCCTGTGGCACGTTACACCCACTCTGGGGTTGGCCCTTTCTTTTTTATCGGATACTGCAGCCTTTGGGTAAACATCATAGCAAAAGTCAAACGATAAAAACTCTGCCCTTGGACTACTACTGAAGGTACCGGCTTTTCCTAAGGCAACACAAAAATCTACGTACGCCATGTCATTAATTTCCACTGTGTGTTTTTAAGATAATAACTTTTTTTCCTCTAACTGTCCCGAGAGAAAATATTTCCTTTCCATAGTGCATCCACCAGCACTTCAACAGGTAAAAAGACACCCCTCTGTTGCCCCATAGAGTTCAACGTTGGTGGGTGCTACCCTACAGTTGAATAATCACAAAAATGCTGTTTTAGCTGCACATTAAGGGGCAGGATAATCTGTGTATCACTGAGTTCCCTGAAGTATTCACAGACCATTCTGAGTAAGCAGCCCTTTGGAAGCATAAGAAATTTATCTAGAAAATTACTATCCTCTGTTTTGGACTAAATATGCCTGGTTCTGAGGAATAAATTGAATATGCACTCAATTTACAGTTCAACTTTGCCAGTCTTCTACCTGAGGAAATACTTTTGGGCTTTAATAGGAGCCCTCTACACTCCAGGAGAGCAGGAAACACGCCTGCCCCCATCCCTGCATTGCAGCAGGGGAAACAGTGCAAAGCAGAATAGCTAAAGGGGCAGAGGAAAAAAAAAATTACCTGCTATTCCAATACTCTGTTTCATCTTCAGTGCAGTTAATTCTCAGATGACAGGAAAAGGCCCTGAACCATCCAACAGGAATTAAGCCATAATTACTTAGTACTCTTATCTGTTTGGGGTTTTTTTGTTGCCAAGAGGTTATTAAATATTTCAAAAGAAATGTTTTCTTCAATTCTTAATTTGTAGCCATCTCAAATCTGGAATGATGTCATTATAAATAGCCAACAATTCTTTATAGTCTCAAAGTACACTGAAAAAAAAAATCTGTGCACTGCTAAAGGACGCCAGCCTCCACATATTTAAATTCCATTATATTTGTTTCCTTTAAAGTGAGCAGAGTCCTCAGGCTAAAGCATGGTCAGAGTACTTTTGAGAAATGTTTGTCCTTGCTTTCGTAACTTAAAATCATTCCATCTAGTAAAGACCAAAGGAAGAAAGCCCCAGTCCATTATTCCTGCCCTTTCCATTTATTTTCTAAAGTGGAAAAGAGAAAATAGGGAACTTGAACAATGAGTGTGGTAGCAATACATTACAGCAGCAGATGATAAACACGCAGTACATATATATTAATTCTGCTCATTTAATCACCCACTTCCAGTCTGTCTACCTCCTCCGAGATGACTTCCAGCATTCCAAAGCCCTAAGCAGCCTCAGATAATACTAATACTACTAATAATAATCCATCCTTCCTTCCCCCAAAATTGGTCAATGCCAAGGCCCCAGGCCATCAAAATTCAGTTCTCCACAGCGACAGGTTTAGTTGTGTAACACTGGATATCAAGAGGAGAAACTTTAGAATACTAAAAAGATTCCCCCACCCTCCAAAACCCGAAAACTAAACACCACACACACACACACAGAGGATTTCATCCTACTCTTACAGATCCCAAGATATCAACATTATGACAGTTTATCAGGGTGGAGGGGAACTAAAACCAAATTACTTATCTTCATTGTAAAGCTGTTACACTTTAGCTGAAGGCATTTAGCTTGATGACAAAGCAATATAAAAAGTGTGCCCAACAACACTTCTAAAACCTCATAAAATAAGAGGAGAGACTTTACAGTAGCTTTGTGCTTGTATGTTATATCCACAGATACTCATTTTCCTCAGATCCCCTGCAAGAGCAATGTGGCCACTCCAAATTAATGCCATTAAAACTCTTCTCCATCTAATTGATCCCCAATACAAACATCCCCACTTACTTTCTTCCCCATATAATCTCAGAGGGAGACGAACTCAGAACTGAGCCTATACACGGATCCCCCCAAAAAAGCCACCGGCACTGAAAGGCAAATTAACCTTTAGCTGCTCATCTGAATACAAAACAAGGTAAAAAAAGGGGTACGGTCTACAGAGGGGCAGGTGGCTTTCCCTACAGCCATTTAAAAAGCTTCTGGCCTCTCTCTGGACTAGAAAATTGAAAATTCTTTAGTGACGCGTCAGGGAACAGAGAGCAGCCAGAGGCAGTGGCTGACCTGTAGCTGCATTTTAGCTGAAGTAAGCGGGAGGATTTGAATGGATGCTTTGTACAAGCTATTCCTAAAAATGCAAAGATGTCTTCAACAGTTTTCCCCTCTTCTTCCTCCTGGCTCCCTCTAGTGCTCTTAAGCACATACTGCCCTTTTCTTCCTGTTTTATTTAATGCAAATATAAACAATTGCTAAGATGATTTATTTTTTTAAGACCTGCACTAACTCTTACAAACTGCTCAGAAGTTTTTACTGAACGTATTATTCACATGTACGTCACTCCAGCAATCACAGACTGACACCAGGCTTTCTACCAGAAATCTTTATCTATTAAATACTTTATGTACAGGCCAGCATATTTAAAATTTTACTCATTTTAAAGGCATCCATCAGCTCCATCCTTAGAGAAAGTCAGCTAAAATGAATCCCTTTCCCTGCACGTTCCCACCCCAAACAGGAATTACGTCTAAACAGGAGGTTACTAAAGCCCAACAGCTGAAAAATAAAACATTAAAATTTTATGCCTGCTCTAAAGGGTCACTTATAAAATGTTAATCGCATCCCTTATCTACTGTGTCCCCACATAAAACACAATTAAGAACCATACCTGCACTCCCACTTTTATGAGTGGAGGAACAGTGAACTCATGACAATATCGTGCTTTCTACCTGCGGGTGCATGCAAACAGAAAGTAGTCCTCCAAAATCAGTAACTCCCTGGAGAGCTGAGCAGGTATTTTTAATATAATTAAAGCCTTCACCTCTTCAAACTGCTTCTATCCAAGCTCTGTATAGTCAACCACTTCAGTGGACGTGTGTGTTTGTTTAAGGTCTATTCACAGAATTAAAAACGTGAAAAGGAAAGCTCATTTCAGAAGGAACAAGAAAAAGAGCTTTGCTGAAGATCTAAAATTTAACCTCTCATCACACGTGTACCCCAAGAGGCCCAACCTTACAGTTCATATCGCAGCGCACTAAA